TTCTCCGAAAAAGGATCTGCTCTTTCGATGTGTTTTTTCTTTTTGTTTCCTCTTTTTTTTTCTTGTTTCGTTTTTGTTTTCCTCTCTCTCGCTCGCTGGCTCTTTCGCTTTCTCGCTCTCTCCCTCTCTCTCTGAGAGGCCGGGTGCGCCTACCGCAACGCAGACCTGGAGCAGCGCAAGGCCGAAACTTGAGTTGGCCTATACCTGTTTCGGGAGGGCCTGATTTGTTTTGCAATGGGCGTGTGTTTGCAGGTGGTTTGCCTATCGGCTTGAGTTGGTACCCGTTTTGGGAGGCGGTTTCTTAAGGAATTCCAGGGTCCCGCAAAGAAAAGAAGAGACAAGCCCAAATGCAAGACAGTAAGTTGATTTTCGGCTGAGACTATTTGGAGCCCGTTTTGTCTGATGAGCAGGGCACGGAACATTGTTTTTGCTAATAGTTTTTGTCGGGCTCGCTTTTTGTTCGGAGAAAACCCGCCTGGATTTTTGTCTTTGTCTGACCCACCAAGATTGGTGGTTGTCCTTTCGGTTCCACCGAAAAAGCCCAGCGAAGGGGCAGCCTCAAGCCATGGAGGGGAAAAGAGCGGGGCCCCGGGGAGGGCTTGGCTCATTGGGGTTTGATCCCAGGCGGAGTGGAACAAGAAGAAGGAGGAAGCCGGCGAGGCCCGGATCCATTCGCGCGTGGCCCGAGTGGCCCGAGTGTCTTGCTTGACGGGGCGAAAGGGGCCCTGGCTGAGGCGACCTCGGTGAGCCCAGATGAATAAGCCCCTGTTTATGAATGTGGCGTTGTTTTTTTTTTGGGGGGGTTCAGTGGGGAATCCGACCACTTTGGCAATCCTTGAGCTTTCGGCTGGCCTCCAGGAGGCCCCCGCCTAGACGGCAGAGCACGTGCTCAGGTTAGTCACCTTAGGGGGAATTCCCAGAGGAAAATCCGCCGTTTTGGGGGGTCGCTTGAGTTTGATATGCCCAAGTTGCTTTTTGAGAGGTTCTCACTTTCTTTGCCTTAGGGGACTGGGTTGGACAGTTCCATGGTAAGAGGGCCCATCCCAGTTTGCATGTGTGAGTTCGCCCATCGCCAGCAGCGTCATGAAGAGCCTTTTTGTGACGCCCTCGGCGTGTGTGTGTGTGTGTGTGTGTGTGTGTGTGTGTGTGTGTTTTTGGGGTGTGTGTGCCACCCAGGCAAACAGATTCCTAGGAGCTGGATGTCAATTCCCAGCCGCGCGTTTCGGGCGCTTCTCCGAACGCCGGCCAGGAGTACGACGGCCCGGCCCTAGAGGATTTGGATGACGACTTCAAGGCGCGCGATCTGCGGATAGGTGGCGCTGGTGCGAGGGTTGGATCTTTGGACAACTCAAAAAGTTTTGCACGGGTCGGCAGCAACCAAGACATGGAAAAGCTTGCGTTTTTTTAAGAGTTGGCTTGCGTTGGTTTTGTGGTTCCACAGGGAAGCCAAGGGGGAAGGCACCACTACAGTATTTTAGGGGGTTCCTTCCATTTTGAGACAAACACGATGAGAGGTCGATGTTGAAGGGAGCCCTCCAACATTGTGGGTTCCTTTTGGTCTTCAGTTGAAACCCCAAGCTGGTGAAGTTTAAAGATCTTACGCCACTGAGATTCTGAGGTTGTAAGCCATGAAGATTGGACGACTGTAAGCCATCAAGATCCTGAGATTGTAAGCCATTAACATTTCAAGACTTTAAGCCACCAAGATTTGCACGTTTTAGACCACTAAGACTTGAAGACTTCAATCCACAAAAACGGGTAGCAGTAGCCTGCCTCCGAGAGAGGCCCAAGTCTAATCGTCAAAGAGCCTGCCTGAGACTCACACAAGCAGAGCCCAGCACAGCGAGGTGTAAGCAAAAAAAACAAGACAAAAGGATTTAACCGGTTTTCAGGTTGGTTTGCCTTTGGCACCAATGCAAAAAAGGGGTACTCTTGAAGAAAGACAGACCCATTTGAAGAGTTTGAGTGGTAACTAGCTTTCAATGTGGTTGGCTCATGTCATTTTCTTTCTGAAAGCCACGGAATTTTCTCCAAGCCACGGCCAGGGCCTTTGCGGTTCGCTCGCCAGTTCTTCGGCCGTCAATCCACTCTCGGCTTCCGACTTCCCGCTCGGCGGTTTGGAGCTAGGAGTGGTCTCCCTTTGACCCGTTTAGCGAGAACCAAGGGTTCAAATCCAAAGACCAAATTCTGAACCAGCAACTAAGAGTTACCTGGTAAACATCACCCAAGAAAACAAGGAGCATGTTCCAAACAAAGCCGCCAATCTAAGGGTTAGCTGACACTCGATCAAGGTAGGCAGTTCCTCAGGAGGAATGACTGAACAACTATTGGTTTGAGGAGCTTGAATTTCGAGAAAACCAAAGGGGGAGCTGCAACCAAACCCCAAGCCACCAAACTTCCACAAGGGCAGGGTGGCTCTTGAGATGCCGATGATGGGTCGTAAGTTATGGTTGGCACCATCTCTCAGCGACGTACGCACAGAGCCACTCGGGTGGCTGTCTAAAGATCGAGTGGCACCGTATTCCCCCCTACTGTCTGTGGAGGGTCCCCCGACCAAAAAAAACACACGAAACAAAACAAAACAAAACAAAGCAAAAGCAGGTACACCTCAATTGGTGGTTTGGGTTGGTTTTTTTCTGCTTGCGGGGTGGTTTTCCATTTACCTTTGACTGGAGCCAGGGATTGAAATTCTCAAAAGCCCCCCCCCCCCTTCCCCCCCTAGACGGGTTCCCTGTTTCTATCGTTCGGGTCACTGCGGGCTGTCGATCTGTCGATCGCTCGAGACATGGGGGCGCCATGCACTTTGGGGGGGCTGCTCCTCTCTAGGTTGCAATTGCTTGCTCCCTGCAGGCCGCCTAAAGTTTGCGGCTGCACCTCGGCAGTCCTGGCCTCAACCGACCCGATTCTTTTTTTTTGGGGGGGGGGGGTTGTGGTGGTTTTTGGGCCGTGTAGCGTGCGTCTGGGGATTCAGGGATCCTTTTCCGGGTCCTTTTTTTTTTTTTGTAATTCGTTTGAGGGCTGGTTTGAAGGGAAACCAAAGGAAAACCACCAGTTTTCGGGACGCCTTCCCTTTGGACACACCCATGTTCAACCCGGATTCTTCAAGCCCTGGGTGATGTTGATCGTGGGGTGCCCCCGCTTGGTTGTTGTTCAGACCACCGGTGGAGGGAGCACCTCCCTATCAATGGAACTGGGGTCAACATGCTTTCCTTCGACAACTAGGTCTCCCGGTAGTGTCCTTTTACATTTTTTTGGGGGAGGGCTCCCCCACGAAAATAGACTACAGAAAAAGGGTACCCTTATTCTAACCTCTCTACTGGAGGACCTCAATAACTTACATGGTGCGATTAAATTCCGTGGTTAGACATGGTGTGATTATTGTTTGAATCTTCTTTTTACTTTCCCTTTCAGGGGAAGGGCCAGAAGGGATGATCTTTTGGGCAAGGCCTCAAAGGCTTGCAAAACGGCACGGCTTCATGAGTTTGGCTTGTCAAACGGTTCCGAGCTGTTCTAGCACGTCAACTCGGATGAAGCACAAGGATCCAAATCGATATCCCCGTTCGGGATCGGTAAGTTGATTGCCACCAGGACCCGCAACAGGGCTTTCGGTTCTGTGAGGTTCCCGGTTGAATCCAGCCCAAAAAGGTGCCCTCAATTTCTGGTGCTTTTTGGCTGATTTTTGGAGGGACATCGGGGGGAGTCACGTATTCTGAACGCGGGACTCACGCAACTACCCATGCCCTCTTTGGGGAAGAAGTGATATCGACCCTGGCTTAGGTGAAGGACTGAAGAGCCGAAGCTGCGCGTCTCACCAGCGAATTTGCACCTGGACCGCGAGAGCCAGACACGAAAAATGCCGAGACGTCTCACCAAGGTTCACCACAGGGGTCCTTATATTGGCCTAGGATAGCACAGGATGTTGACTTCTTTTTGGAACGGTCAAACGGGCACGGGCTGCATTTGGAAGAAGACGCAGGGTCAATCATCGCGGCATGCAGTGAGCCGTGAGCGTTTCAAGGAAATTTGGATTTGTGGCAAATGAGCTTCGACCCCTGTCGCCAAGCAGGTTCCGATCTCGAACTGGACCGATCCGATCTGAAAGCTGTCCCGCGAAAGCGCGGGAGCGAAGCCGAAAAGATGCTGGGTCTGCTGGAGATCTGAATGCAAGGGTCTCCATGTTTGGATTACCCCAAGGTAGACTGAAAGGGGTTCTGGAGTTCCTTTTGAGAAAATCAACAAATGGGTTCATGAAAGTCCATCTGATTTCAACTACCCTTTTTGCAAGAATCATGGAAGTGGACAGTCTTCCACGCCATGTCATCCGTGACTGTTCGGGTGAAGAGGGCCCCACTGGCCCCACTAAAAGATTTGGGTCCACAAGTGGATGTTTCGATATGTTTCCCCTTTGGGTCATTGCTCAATCCATCCCTTCAGTCGGGAATGACTCAGGGTGTTGGGAGTGAACCTAGGGATTCCCTTAAAGGGAAGCCAAAGGGATTGTTTATCAGTGTCATTCCCTCATTCGCTGCTCAGCACCAGCAAGGACACCCTGCTTTGCACTCCACAAATCTTGGTAAGCATGGAAACCATAGGCTCTAATTCCAATTGCCCCACCTACAACATATCTTTTTCCACCAGGGTAGCCCACGCCCACTTGCCCCATGCGAACCCGAAACAAGTCGGCCTGTGGTTCTTCATGGTCGGCATCGCACGGGCTGTCCTCTTCGCCCACACCTGAAGCCCGAAAACCCATCTCCCACACCCACGAAAACCTGCGAAAGCCCGAAAATAGAGAAGCAAACAACCACAAAAAACACAGCCAAAAGGCCCATCCCACACCTACGACCCCCCCCCCCCCAAAAAAAAAAAAAAAGAAGAAGAAGAAGAAAACACAGGCAACAGATTCGCCCAGATTTTCCCGGCTTCGGTCCCTTGAGCCCCACCAGTTTCGACAGGTCCCAACAGGTAGGGGGGGGGGCGAATGACTTTCCGGGATCGAGGCCCCAAAGGCGCCGCTGCCCGCCTTGGATTCAGAGGCCCAGCGGATCCGCGCGCGGAAAAAGAAACTGGGCGCGGTTGGGTGTCCCTTGTTTGGTTTTCAGGACCCCCCCAAACTGGCGGGGGGGTCTTTTTTTGAAGGCGGGACCCCCTAGAAAGCAACAAACAATGACCCAGACGGGTGGTTTTCCGGCCACTAAAAGAGTGTGCAAGACGCACAGTGCGGATGTGCCTTGGGGTTTTTCAATGTTTTGAGGGGGTTCCTTCGAAAACAACGAGGAAAAGAAAGGGCGCCTTGTTTTTGCATGTGTACTGGGGTCTGAGTTACGGTCGCAAAACGGCACCACAGGGGAATGGTAGACAAAGGGGTGCACGGGTCCGTCTTGCAAAGGCAGCAACCGAGCTGCAAGAGCAAATCCAAGACAACCGCCCGAAAAAAGAACCCCAATTCTGAGAACGGTCCTCCGGATTCATCGGAAGATAAAATACAAACCGTATTGTTGATATAAACCTGCTGTCCCCTAGTGGTTTAGGTTTAATTTTGACCCATACCCTATATGGTTGATGTTTTAAATGCAACTTTCCGCACGCCGGCCAGGCGCGAGCCAAGGATGGAGCCGCGCGGCAGGTGCCGGGGATTTTGCCGAGTTCGAACGCACACGGGTCTGTCTCGGGTTTGTTTGTTGTAGCTCTATTTGGACTGGTTTCCAGGAGAGAGGACGGAGAATCAACCCCCCAAAAAATTCTCTCAATCGTCATGTATTCTCGTCCTTTCGGATTTGGGGCCGGTGGTTTCAGCCTCTGCGATTCTCAAAGCTCACGTTTCGTGGGCGGGCAGGGAACACTCCAGGGATCCCTAGCCGGCGGGAGGTGCCCTGCTTACCAGGCGGATCGCTTCCTCAAGTGGGGAGGGTCGCCTCCCTTGGTGCTGACAGGGGTCACCTGCCTGCTGGCGCGACGGGGCAAACGCGAGGTGCAGGCGCGAAGCGAGCACTTTTCGTGCGTGGAGTTTCCTTGAGGTTTTCTTTTTGGTGGGGGCGCTCGTGGGTTCAACTCCCGACTTTTTGTTTTTTGTTTTGTTTTGGGGGGGATCTATGTACCAAAAGGTGCAACTGAACCACATGTTTCGTCTCGAGTTTGACCAGATTCTCTCAAGGTCCAAAAAAATAGAAAGCATCAAAAGGGTTGGTGATCGGTACTTCACCGGGCTAAGTCATCGGAGGATCATGTCGTGCGGTTTGTCCGGCCAGGCCTTCAACGTGGAGCTCAACCGAAGGCCGCAGTCGGCTCTGCTGTCCCACCAAGTTCGCAGGGAGACCAGGAAGGCCCGAAAGGATCTTTAGATTGCAGAGTTTGCTTCATGACACTTGTGGGGTTAAGCACAAGGATGACGCCAAAATGACCGTATGAACCTTATGCCTCATGCCTCCTAAACCAATGACCTTATGAGCCTTATGAACCTTATAACCTCACTTTCTGAGTTCAACTGGACTTTCGTCACTTTTTGGGTTTGACACATCCTAGTGGTAAGCAGCACGTTCGGACCTCTTCTGGCCGATCGAGTCGCTCGATCGGAAGTGAGATATCTCGTAAAGAAGGCTTTTGGGCTGGGATCGACCAGACAGATGGGTAAGAGCACATGGCGAACGATTCCATCGTTCTGTTGTACTGTTGACCCAGCAATGAGCCCGTCCCATTTTTTTGGGGGGGTGGTGTTCCCTCCAAAAGTGGTCCGAATCCGAATCCAACCACTAAAAGGAATTGGACACCCCCGATTCATCAACCGGGTTTAATCCGGGGTTAACATTAGGCATCTTCATTTCCTGGTGCAAGCCTTGCTTGGTTGTTCGGATTGGTGGTTTCTCATTTGATTTGAAGCACTGGTTCTTGGAGGGCAAGTAAGCAGCGACCCCCCCAACCCTTCCAACCACCTCGGAACGGCAAAAAAGAGCATGGAGGAGGATCAAATGAAGGCCGATTGAGCTCATGACTCTACGGGCCACCATTTTGGGGCTGGTTGACGTGCGTTTGTTCTCTCCCTCCTGGGGTGGTTTGGGGCAGCTTTCACAGGGTTCCAGGAAGTTGTTGTTTTTTTTTGGGTGGGGTTCCGGGGCTGTTGGGGATACCTGCATGTGCTTCAGACTATTTTTTATTCTCCCTTGTTGGTTTTCAAAAGAATTCATCACTACCGGAGATATTCTTTGTTTTTCCTGGGGCCTGATCTAAATGGAAGGATGCCACCTAGGATTTGCTTTTTTCCGCTGCGACACGGGATGCGTGGCTTGCCCGCCAGCCCGGGGCGGCGCTGCCAGGATCCTGGCATGCCGTCAGGCGAGCCAGGCTGGGAGATTCGACGCGAGAGGGTTTTGCGGTTTGCCTGACATGCAACCAGCAGGGACGATGTGCTTTTAATTTTTGTTTTCGTGTTCAGGTGTGAGCTGTGTTTCAGGGGGCGTTTTGGGGTGCTCAGGTGTGCTTAGGTGTATTCAGGTGTGCTTAGGTTTTTTTGTTTGTTTGTTTGTTTGTTTGTTTGTTTGTTTGTTTGTTTGTTTGTTTGTTCTGCCTGTCTGCCTGCCAGCCTGACTGGCTGGCTGGCTGGCTGCCTGCCTTCCTGCCTGCCTGCCTGCCTGTCTGTCTGTTTGTTTGTTTGTTTCCTCGTTCGCGGGTGAAACAGGTGCGGCACTCGAGCGAACGCTTTGATGTGGCCTGGGTAGCCGGCTCACGGGGGAGGTATTTGCTCACGGCTTCATTTTGGATCCTCACTTTAGGCTCTGCTTCTTTGAAATCCTTCTACAGGCTCCCGTTTTGACAGGGCCGCCTGTGTTTCCCCTTTCGAATATGACCCCAACAGATTCCAAAAGGAATCTCACCTCAATTTTGCTCCAAAAGCTGTTTAGAACCACAAGGGCACCACATATCTTGAGCCACAAGGGTACCACAAGGGGACCACAAGGGCACCACAAGGGCACCACAAGGGCACCACAAGGGCACCACAAGGGCACCACACACCTTCGAGGGCTCCGCTTGCTTCGGATTCCCCGATTCAAGGGGGCGGTTCGCGAGGTGGCGGAGCTGTGCTAACAGCACCTGCCGCAGTTCGACACGGTGAATCTGCCGACTGCGCCAACGCCTCAGATGCGAAGACGCCGCGGCTCGGAGGTTTGGTATGGTGAAAATATATTTATGTAATACGATGGTGTGTACAGACATGCAAAGCCAAAGTTGGGTTTGTGCATCTTTTTTTCTTATGGAGTACGGGGGGGTGGTCGGAGCCGTGCGCTAAGGCTACAATGCCTGGCGCGGTTGGGGGTGCATCAGGACGATGAGTGCCGTGCCTGGTAAAACCTCTGACCGAGTGGGCCTTCCTCTCATAGGGGTCCTCCCCCCGAGGTTTCCTTTTGCTGTAGGTCCTTGTTTGCAGAGGTGCTCTGTTTGGGGGGGGGGCATGTTTGGCTTTTCCTTGGTTGTCAAGGCATGTGAAAGGCCGCGTGCCACCCAAGCCTCAAAAGCGGCCATGGGAGAGAGGTCCCCCATTTCAATCCCTAGTTCTTTTTTTTCTCCAGGGAACGCCCCAAAGGAAGCGCCTCATTTTATGGGGTCCCCCGTTCTTGGTGTGCAAATTCCATGTGGCATTGGCAGGTGGCATTCCTTCCCAGTGGGGCTGCTCGGCACCTGCGCCTGCAGATTGTCGTTTTTTGTTTTTTGTTTTTTCCTCCTTCCCCTGCAACAGCTGAAAGCTGTGGGGTGACCCAGAAATTTCCGAAATTTCCCGGTGTTTGAAGGTCTAGGAAGCACCAAGCCTTTAGAGCAGCAGCAGTTCCAAAGCACCCCTACCCGCACCTTTAATATTCTGGTTGTGTTGCACGTTTGAACTGCCGCTTTGTGGAGCCCCAGGCAGTTTGGCACCGTATCTAGCTTTGTAGATACCGAAGCCGCCGCGCGGAGAGATGTTCGGGTGCTGCTGCGTGGACGAGAAGCGCCTTGAATGGAGATTTGCCTCGAGGGGGGGGGGTGAAAGGGGGAAAGGGCCAAGGATCCCCACATCGAAAGCCGCTCTGAATGCAAGGGGCCCCTTGAAGACTTGTTTTTAAGCGGACCCCCCACAAAAAAATAAATAAACACAACACACACACACACACACACACACTGTGGTTTTCCCTTTGGTTTTCGTTTCAAGCCAGCGACAAGTGGGTACCATCAACGAAGAGACGCCCTCTTGGCAGTTTTGCCGGACCAAGTTGACTTGAACGATGTTACAGCGTTCGGAAAAAGGTGCCGTGAGGCTGGTCAAGAAGAGCATTGAGACGCCTTTTCCGGCTCCAGCAAAGATTCGATGAGGGCACTGGGATCGGAACCTGAGCAGGTTCAATCGACTTAGTTTGTATGTTTTAGCCCCGGTTACTGGGGTAACTGAGTTAGTGCCGTTAGGTTACAACCTACTTACTAAGTAGCTATCCACTTGCCAAGTAGCTTGAGCACCTAACGAAAACCTGTCCGAAGGTGGACTGCCCATTTGGACAGGACCGGGGTTTCCTCCCGGCCTTTCGTATGGGCTAGATGGGGCCAAACACTCCCGCCTCCAGAATTTCCGGCCCCTCAATGCCCGAAGATTCGAAAAAAATCGGCGACCAGATTCCGGCTTGGAGTCGTTTGGGGCGAGGCCCGCGGACTATGTGGAGCTCCAGATGGACACCGCTTTCCCGGAGGGAAAGTCTAAGAAGGAGGCGGGCCCCGATCGGGACGTGGCATAGAGAGCACCGGTTGGAACCGGTGGGAAGGGTGTCGCTGAATCAATGAAATTCCTCTTCCCTTACCGTTTGCTTAAAATTCTTGGTTGTAGTTTTTCTTTGTTTTTTTTGGTCCTGTTGGTTTTCAAGGGGATTTGTCACCAAGAGGGAGCCTGTCGGAGCTAAACAACCAGGTAACCAGGAGTGCTGTCCACATGGTAGCCCGAAGCGGATTTTGTTCCTTCACATGCGGCACGACGCCTCTCTCTCCAGAAGCATCCCCTCCATGGTTCCCCTTAAGGCCTCAGACCATGACGGGGTGCCTGCGGCTTGATCCGCGTTTGTTTGCATCTATTGAGGATCCTGATGCCGATTTTTAGAGAGGTTTCACTATTTTTATGCGGAGCTTGCTCAGCCCAAACGCGCTTAAGCAACTGCCCTTGCCAATGTCTGGTTCAATTTGCACAGCTTTCGCGGTAGGATTGTCTTGCTGGGCCTTGCAGTGACCTGGAAAGTCCCAGGTCAACCAACCTCGCAGAGGTGAATAGCGGGGGCTTTTGTGCCCCCCGCCTTTAGCATCTAGAGCCTTGTGAATCCTGGAAGGGGGAAGGTGATCTGGTTGCGCGGGACTTCAGGTGGTGGATGACCAAGTCTTGATCTCCCTCCAGTCTAACACATCGTGGCATGACGGTCCTGTTGAACTTTGGCGATGATGGATCTATGTTTTTTGCTCCGGCTTGACCGCTCAGGAGCCGCAGACTCCCCCCCCCCGCCAATCATGTCGCTTGAATGCATACACGACGTGTGTTTCCTCCAATGCAACCTGGGGTTGTGGGAAGGAGGTACGATGTTTCAACTTCTTTTGTGCTTCTTTTCTGCTGCCAGTGAGGCGGGTCCCCAGGGGAGCCCCCAAAAACATCTTCGCCGCTGCGACGCAGGCTCCGGCGGTGTCCGGCACGTTCGAGACTTGGACAAGAGCCAAGCAGCTTGAAGCGACACGCATGTGTTCAAAGATGCTGGGTTTGCTTTCTGGAACCTGATGCGGGTGTGTGTGTGTGTGTGTGTCCTGGTTTGGACCATTTTCCTTTTAATGTTGACCCCGGATTAAGCAGAACCCCTGGTTGACTAATAGGGGGTGTCCCCTTTTAGTGGAGATTCATCACTTTTGGAGGGATCATCCCCCTAATAATGGGACGGGTTTATTAATCCTGGGTCAACATTAAAGGGACCCCCTGTTAGGTTCCATGTTAACTGATGGGAGGGTATCATGTTTACTCTGTGCACCCGCACCGATTGTACAAGAGTGGGGGGGGAGGGGGGCGATCGCCCCAAACAGCCGGGCAGTGCCAATCCAATTCAGGAGGCAGGGGGTGAGAAAGAAGTTCTTCGGGGCAAAATACGGTTTAAACACCACCTTCACAAGAAATCGTCGTCAACCCGGTGGTTTAAACATCTTACCTCTTAAAAACACAACTTTTCAACTTTTTGGGTAACATGGGCTATATGTCTGCAAAAGGTTAACTTCCCCAATCCTTGGAGTTTTATGGGGGAAGTTAAATCAATGGGTAGCCCTATGCTAAGAAGGCCCGTGCCTTTGGTGGGTTTCATCCGTCCAAGGACATCACCTTGGAGCGAATCCCCGGCACCTACTTTGGCATCGACTTGTCCAGCGCGGGCAAGGCGCGGGCAGGGAGATTCGGCGCTTCGGCGCCGAGGTGCAAAATTGGATTGCTGCTGGCAGAGGGGAGGGGTTTGCAGATCTTCGCTTGGGGTTTCTCAATTCAACCCCCTTTTGGTATTTACAGGGGAGCCACAAGGAAGCAAGCCATTTGGAAAGGGCACTTCTTTGAAAAGCACCCATTTGCAGAAGGACATTTGTAGTGTCATTCCTCCTTTCACGGGGGAGAACCAAGTTGTTGATTGGAAGGCCAGAAACCCCAATGGTTTGGGAGGAAAGGCGGCAGTTGTGTCAAGATGGGGTAACCCTAAGCGTCCCTTGCAGCCACCCCCAAACTGGGGTACCCTAACACGCCATGGGTGACATTGTGTCATGAGGGTCACTTCCAAAAAGTGCGGGCTGGAGTAAAACCAGCGAGCCAGCTAGGTCCCGAGACGTGAATCATTGAATCGGGGATGTTCTTTCCAGAGGTAGTTTTCCATAGCAATCCATACACTGGATGGCGCAAAAGATGCCTGCCTGACAGGTGGCACACGTTCCTTTGTGAAGAAGGGCCTGGCTGAGCTGACTTTGGTGCCAGAAAAGGTGGTCAGGTCTTGAAATTGCAGGCTTAGATGTGGTCCTGGTCCGTTGGCCTGGTTGGGTCCAATTGTTTGAGGGTCCCCCCCCCACCCCCTTTTTTTGTGGTTTTGATGGGAGGCCACCAGGAGAAAACCGAAATCCATCTTGGCGGGTCCCATAAAAAAAGGACACACCCACCTCCGCATCACATGATCCCCGCAGCCCCAAGGGCACAGCCGCTTTTCTTCCAACAAAAACGCTGCAGCAATGTCAGAAAATGGGGTTTCCCTTTAACCGATGGACGAAATTCATATCGCAGCACCGCAGAATCCCTGCAATTGTTGGACCCCCTGTAAACACTAACAAACGCTATGGTTTCAACCATGGTTTCGTTTCGTGGTGCGAAATGGACTTCGCAATCATCCACAGTACCACTGACCAGTGCTGCCGGCTGCATCCTGAGTCGCAGGCGTGTGTCGTCACCAGTGTCACCAGCGATGGCCTGATCGCAGAGTGGAACAGCAAGAGTGGGCCAGAGACGAAGGCCCTCATGCCGAGTGTCATTTGTGTCATTATCATAGGTGTCCTTTTTAGATTCTTTTCCATCAGAAATAGATTGCACTGGTGTAGATTAGTTTTATTCCATTTGCCAGGGTCACCTATTTTTCCAAAATAGGCCACCAGCCGCGATTATTTTTGAGGCGTGCGACCCTTGCGGGCGGCGGGAGCCGGACCGTGGCATCTCGCTGGTGAAACCTGACCCTTTAAACATGGGGTCATGACCCCTTTAGCTTGGGTGATTTTTTCAGGGTCATGGAGACTCCATGTAGCAACGTCCATTTCGACAACGCCCATTTCAGTGCCGGGCGAAGCCAAAGAACGCAGCTGTCCCCCTCGATGGGGTTCGGTGTTTGGTTGTGGTGTCCCCGAGTCCTGGTGCCGGTCCAGTTGGTTTTGCAAGGTGCTGCGTGTGAGGCGGGTCCTAGCGGAGACCTGTTGGTTGCTGGTGCCCGCGATGGTGCGAAGTTGCGTCCGAAGTTGCTTGGGGATCCATCAGAATGCTGTTTGTGGGGGTAGCTGCTATTTCTGTTGGGGTCCGTCGCTGGGTTGATGGTAGATGTTTGCCTGTTTCTCCTCCCTTTTTGTTTTCTCCAGGGCGTGTTTTGGGCCATGTTAGTCCAACGGTGGAAGGCAAGCAGAGGCTGAATCTCTTGGTAAGCGTGCGGCGGGCTTTCTCGGGTAGCCCTTGGTTTGGATGTTTGCTTCGGCAGGGCTCCTTAAAAGAAATTCTCATTTTGCAACCAGTTGACAGATGTTGCTTTTCCAACACCAAAATAAGGGGAAACCACAATTTACAAGGCAACGTTCAGGTGTATAATGTAAGGATCCCTGTTTGGATATAGATTGGAACCCTGGGTTCTTGTGGGTAAACGGAAAATTAATGCCGCCCAAACCACCAAACCAAACTACCAAGTAGATGGAAGCTGAAGCAATTCATGTTGCAACAGCAGGCGGCTCAGTGTCAAGCTGTGGGCCTTTGCAAGGGTTGTCGGACTGAGGGGTTGCATTCTTTTGGTTCTTCTTCAAAAACCACGGCTGTCTTCCAGACAAACTCTGATGAGCTTACCTGGAGCCAGAATTGTTTCAGGCTGAAGGTACGCTCGTGTCTTATTTTTTCCGCTTCTGTTGATTTCCCCCTCGAGGTGCAAAAGTACGACCGCTTGTATGCCGTGAACGGCGTGAACAGCGAGAAGAGCAAGGACTTGTTAATCAAAGCGACGAACTTGGATCAAGCCGCTTAGGCAATGTTGGCCCGGATTAATAACTAGGTCCCCCAGTGGCGCCCGTTTATCGTTTCTTTTTTGGGGGAGGGCTCCCCTACTAAAATATACTGCAGAAAAAAGGGTACCCTTATTCGAACCTCTCTACTGGAGGACCTAGATAACCCCTGTTCATGAATTTGGGGGTGGGGGTCCCCTCTAGCCAGGCCTTTTTTTTGCTGGGGTCCTAATTCCAGCCTAGATGGTCGGCTTGGTGAAACCCGCCCATCGCCCAGTCACAGCTTCGCAGCTTGGCCGCTTCGCCGAAGCTTCCCGGTTTGAACGAAGCCCGGGGAGCGGATGCGAAGCGTTTTTTCACGCCGGAGGCAAAACCTCCGCGGCACAAAGCGACTGCGACTCATATCGTAATCTCGTTGGGAGGGAACAACTGGTGTCCGGTTCAAGTGAAGTAATTGACGCCATCCCCACCCCGAACTGGAAATCAGGCTTCGGAATTGTAAAGAAAAGGGAGACCCGTCTTGAGCCAAGCTTGGGCATCTCGCGCGAAGAATGAGTAGGCTGCTCATATGTACTGTATATGTGAACTAGTGTCAAGATTAGTTGTTGGAGCTGCCTTCGGTTGAAGTTCGGACGATCTCATTCTCTGGTTTGGTGTGTTGTTCCTGTCCGATGTTGTGTGCTTATTCTCGGAATAAACACGATGAGGCTTCAAACGCTCAGCAGGTCGTGAAATACCTAGGAGAAGAAGGAAGGCCTAAACCCCACAAGGACGTGGGTCCCATTTTGTACCCTTTCCATTGCTTAAGAATATTGATTTGAATGTTTTGGACACATTCGTATTTTTCCAGGGACCTTAAGCCAATGGAAGTACTTGTTTCCGAATGCTATGGAACGTTCTCCCAAAATGGGTGTCTCGTCTTTGCTTTTTTGATTTGGTAGGCATTTTGTTTGGTTCAAGGGAAACCAAAAAGAACACATACACACAAACATATATATATATGTATATATATATATATATCTATCAATAAATCCATACATATTTTTTTTTCATATTTGGGGGTCCCCTAAAAAAGGGGACACCCAAATGGAAATCATGAAGAGGTCAAGAAGAAGGTCACCTGGAAGCTCTCCAGAGCGACTAAAACAATAAAGATTCATATAACCATTATTGTTTACCATCCAACTTGGGTCCTTGCCATTCTGTTGACAAGGTGAGCCCAACAATCCCTTCGCCAACGATTTAAGGCGATGTTGGCTGCGACCTTGAGGTGTGCACTTCCAGCTCAAAGCCAAGCCACACACAGACACAGGGTAGAATCTGCGGTCTGTTTGGGCATGAATTTGAGAAAAGGGGACCCTTTGGACATCATTCAGGTTTGGATGTACGTCCACCCAGCCGAAGGGCATTCACTTCAAGAGCCACACCGTTTCACCAGCCACTTTAAGGTGGTTCCCCAGTTGAAGTTCATAGCCCTTGCTTCCCTAGAACTCCGTCAGCGAATGCGTTTGCTTCGCGGGTTCTGCGCTTGCAGCGTGTTTTTTTCTTCTTCTTCTTCTTCTTCTTTTCTTCATGTGGCTATTCATGAGATTCTTGCCTTGCTGTCCAGGGTCAGTTTCTACGCATAGCTGGTCCAAGGCCTATGGGCGCGTCCTAAAATAGGCGCGCGCTCTTTTTTCTTCAAAAATCCACCCCCATCTTTAGGATAAAGCATGGGGGAAAAAGCACAAATAAAGAAACAAACAACAAGCAAGCAGTCCACTTGCCAGGGAAAAACAACCGCAAATAGGCGCGTTTAATCCCATTTTTAGGGTCCACCTGTCAGGAAAAAATACCCCACTCCCTTCTTCGGGATCCTTCCGAAGCCGAAACCCAGCCCTGCTCATCAGGAGGTGCTGGACACCTTGAAAGGCACCCACAACAAGATGGTCCTCACCTTCCAGCGGGCGATTTGCCACGAGGCGCCGCCTTGCGGCCAGGAAGCCGAGGTCTTGCTGGGAGGTCTTTTCTGATTTTCAACCCAAGTAGCTGCGAAAAGCCTGGGGCGACCATTGTAGAGGACAAGTTTTCGGTAAAAAAAATGGCAACACTATATTCAACCAGAAAGTTTTAAACAGTCTTGAATATGCTATTCTTCTTACCTTGTACTCTTTTTCAATTCACGTCCTCCGAATGCAAGATGTCCAACGGAACTTCTTGGCAGGTGATTCTAGATTCCTGCAACGTGTAAATGGTATAGTCAAGGTCCCAAAAGCTGAGCCTGCAAGACCATGTCAAGAAACAAGTGGATGTGGCTCAAAATTAAACAGCAGGGGTTGCGCAGATTTTGGTCCATGTTTCCACTTACCAGGGTTCCATTTTGGCACCGGTTTTTTGAGCCACAGCCAAGTGGGTTGGTTGGGGCGTGCTATCTGAGTGTTACCTCCCATTTTCCAATTCGCTGCAAGCAAATTGGTCGCGCACCTTTTTGCAGGGGTTCTCCAGCCAAGCGCTACGGAATCCCTAAGTCAGGGTACCACCCCCCTTCTTGGCATTCCATAAACAAGTTGGCGGAAACCAACAGGGGGGTCTTTTTGCCACCTTTCGGGGACAACTGATCGACCCCTTCGGAGTGAAGGATTGCTTTTTGAGGGGGTCGGCAATTTTCTCACAAAAGGTAGCAAAAAGACCTCCCTAAAAATCGACGGCCGCAAGCAACACACTGTGGATGGACGAAATCCTGCACCGCTGAAGAAACCCTGGAATGTTTCGATTCCCCAAACAATGGTGTCAACCATGGTTGCTCAGGTGCTTTGGGGTAGTGCATCACCCATTTTAGTCTATTTGAGTGGTTGGATTGGGATGTTCACTGCGGGTACGTTGTTTTGACCCATGGCCTTTTTGCCCTGGAAACCCACGGCCGCCAACGGCCGCTTTGGCTTTGGAGGTGAAGGTCCGGTGTGGCCTGGGCAGCCTGGGAATGCACCTCAAGGACGGCCCCCACTTTCTGCTGGTGCTGGGCCTTGAGGAGGGCGTGGTCAAGGACCGGCGGGCGCTTTCTTTGTTGCCCCTGTTTTTGCGGTTTGGTGCCTAGTCTTTTTGTTTTACCCGTTTTTGTTCTCCTTTTTTCTGTTAGTTGTTTTTTTTTTTTTTTTTTTTTTTGGGGGGGGGGGGTGGTGTCACCCCCTTTTTGTTCTTCTGTTTTTTTGTTTTTGTTTCTAGGGGCTTTTCTCGTTTTCCCGTTTTTGTTTTGACTCTTTTATGGGTCGTTTCTATCTTTTGGTTGGGCTTCTTCCGTCTCTTTTTTGCTGGCGGGGGCGGTTTTCCGCTTTTTTTGTTTTCCGGCATTCTCCAGGTACTGTTTGTTGTTATTGTCATTCATTCTTCTTATTATTATCACTGCCATGATGTCATGAGGCTTTTTCAGGTCCCCCCCCCCCCCCCCCCCCCCGCAAAAGCGCTTTTCCCTCCCCCCATTGGGCTGTTTTCAGGCCCGAAAGAATTCCACGGCTCCCCCTTACAGTGGGCAGCTGAAGAAGAGGAGGTCTTTCGGGCAGGGGTTCAACCCCAAACCACCCATCTTCATGTAGTGGTTTGGATTGGCTTGGGGATTTGAGCCCGTGGTTGAGGGCAAATGGGAAACCACAGAGGGAAGCCGGTGCGTGTCTTGCTTTGCTTGGATTGCCTGTGTTAGTTTTGTTTCTTACAAAAGGAATTGATGGCCTCATGACAGTTACATTAGCGTATTTTACTTTGCATTTGCGTTTCCCGAGCCTTTTGGCCCGAGCCTTTTTGCCACGCAAAATCAAACCCAGACCTAGCACCAAAACTTATCTAGACCCCGGAACACCTCCAAACCAATCCAAGCCACCAATTAGAGAGAAGCTGACCTTGAGCATGCGCAGATTTGCGACATGCGAATCAGCCTGCGGCCTGTTGCTCGAGTTAGCTGGCCATCGAGCCGGGCAAGCGATGGGCGAGGTAAAAGCCCGGCGTGGGAACCCTTCAAACAGGGAGAAGCCGTCGACATCCACTGTTTAACAATGGGCTCGCCCTAAGGAACAAGCTCCCGGAACAGCTGGGGTTTGTGGAGCCACATGGCCGTGGGTCAAAACCACTTGGGATCCCATTTTGGTTGGTAGGTGCGCCGTCCATTTTAGTCCATTTTAGTGTTGATTGGGATTGACCCATGGCCACGTGGAAACCTGAGTGACCCACCTGGCGGGGGTTTGGGGGGGGGGTTGGTCCGTCAGTCCGTCAACGTCTCCGGCGTGAGAAGCCTCGCAGGAGTACAACAAGACCGTGGGCCCCGAGCGCCCTGGCGCGCGTTTTGGTTCTGGGGCTCGTGGGCCCCGGGGGTTGGTGCGGGCATGGGGCCCCTTCAGCGCTACTCCGTGAGCATGGGGTTTGCCCCCCTTCAGGTACTCGGCTGTGGCTCAGACGGCTGTGGCCATAAATTGGCATTGTGGTGGATGGGGCCAGAGACTAAGGCTAGAGGGCAACCCCGCCGCCCGCCTCTTTAAATTTTGTGCCACACCCGGTTCTTAGTTGCTTGGATTGCCTTGGATTCGGATTTCTTGGTGTCCTTTCGAGCCAACCTGGAAGGTTCTGGACGTTCCAAGCCAAGTGGAAAGCTGACCCAAGCCAGGAAGCCGATGGTGAGAGTCTCCCCATATTTTTGCTACTCATGGTCTCCTAGATTTTTCCGCAGCGCTGCAAGCCCATAGGGCTTTTGGCTTTCCCGTCCTGGTCCATTTTCAGTCATGACCCCAAAAGGTTAACCTTCCTGGTTTCTGAGTCCTTTGGGGCAACTGAAGAAAGCTCGTGCACCCCCAAAATGGGCCTCTTCTTCTGCCAGCGTCACTGAACCACTTGCTGGGTCCTGATTTGTCATCTCCGTTTCAAGGCGCAAGGCCCTCACTGCTTTCAATGAGGCCGATGGGACCGATAGAAGCTCCACGGTTGAGCGGGGCTGTAGGTCAACTGGGTAACCAGCCAGAGCGGGCTCCCCCATTTCAAGACACAAATGAAAACAGACGGACCCTTTGTCTCTTTTGGTGGCTTACCACTAAATCGGTCAATCAATCCCATGGCTTCTGTTGTCCCGGGTCGCCAGCGGCAATTTCCGTGCTTCTTTTTGGGCACGGAAGTTCGGCTCGAGCCGTGTCGATTGACAGTCAACCTAGTGGATAAATTGCCCCCCCCCGAAGCGAAAATTCCACCCGTGGAGCCAGAACCCTCCACTCCAAATCAAGGGGATGCAAATTTCGCTCAAAGGGTTGCGACACCCCGGCAACCCCTTTTTGCACGTCAGCGGAACCGCTTCGTCATCGTGTCAAGTCTGAGGAATGTCTCCTCTTGTCGTGGCTGTCGCTGAGGCTCCAGATTGTGCAGTCGGACCGCATCATCGGGGTGGATGGCTACGAGGGATCCGGCGCGTCCTTGCTGGAGAAGGCTCCGAGCAGACGAGCCGTGGGGAAGACCAACGATCTGATCTTTGGTTGGCTGTTGAACGGAAACCAAAAGAAACCACCATTTTGGGGGGTCCCCTGAAAAAAGGCATGCACTCATGGATTGGTTTGGATTCGGATTCGAGGCACTGATTCTTGTCTCACTTCTTGAGTTGCAGGATTTTTCTTTTTTGGAAGGCAGTTTTAATGGGAAACAAAAACATTTAGACTTCTTCTGGCCAATCCGCTCGGGAAGTCAGTTGTAGAATGGGGTTCTCGAGTGGCACCAACGAGCAGCATTTGCTCAGGTACCTGTTCATTGTGGTTTAGATTGCTGGTTTTTTGGATGTGAGCCCTTGGTTCTTGTAGAGGGCATCCAGATGGGGTAAGTTGGTTTGCGATTGGGCAAACGAGAGTCTTATTCACTTGATGCAAGCTTTGCAGGCACCTGGCAGTTTTTGTTTGGTTCATTGGCGCGCTCTGGTCAGGACATGCCGTGCCAGGTAGCACCCAGCTGAACCAGACTGTAACTTTTTGCCAACTAATGGGTTTTCCACTAAACCACTAAAAGTTAAACTTTGAGCAGGGGAGCAGAAAGCAACCGGGATGTGTTTGTTTTCTCGACCGAAAGATTTTCGAGGCCCAAACTAGATCTCACCAGCAACTTTGGCTTGTTTAGGACCCGCGGAAATCCAAGCATCGTTCCAAAAACCTTTTTGCCAAGAGCTTTGCTCGCCTCCTTTTCTGGGGTTGAACCCTTGGGCGGCCAGGTGGTGGGTTCCGTTTTTCTAGGGGTGTCTCACCGGGGGGAAATCGGGATTCGGGACCTCTCATTTTCAACCCCTTGAACATCACCCTCTTGAAAGTGAGTTTCCTCCATCGCGATCAAGCGGGAGATGGGTGTGTGTCAAAGGTTTTCCTTTGGGTTTAGCTTTGAACCAAGCTTAAAACGGCTACCCTCCCTCCAACTAACGTGGAAACTGCCGCAAGATACCCTCTCACCAGGCACCCTTTCACAGGTGCTATGTTTCTGGGAGAGCGGGTGCCAACCAAAAAGAGTGTCCGGGATGCCCCGCGGGCGCTTTTTGTTGTTTCCTCTTTTTTTCCAGTGTTTTGCAATGGGAAGCATGGGGCCCATATAGTATCCCAGGATCAGAAGATGATCGGAGTTCCGATGATCCCTCGGAATTCCGATCATCTTTTTCTAGCGCGCCGTTCTTCCGGGGAGAAAACACAAACAACAACGGGCTTTGACGAAGATCGGACTTGTGACAACAACTTTTTGTTTTAAACTAAACAAACACAACAAAACCAAGAACAACAACAAAGAACAAACGCGCACACGGGGCGGCCACAGTTCTCGCCGGATCTCCAGGTGCGGGGCGCCGGGCCGGAGGTGTCGCTGAAGGTCTTGGCTTGGAGGCGCGGGGCGCGGAGGTTGAGTTAAACGAACGCCCAACTTGAACACACCGGCCAGTTTTTTTTTTTTTTTTTTTTTTTTAATTATTATTAAGTAAAGTAAATAAACAAATCAATAAATACATAAATACATATGTATATGTTTCGTTCCATTTTTTTTTGGGGGGGAAGGAAGCCTAATAAGAAGAATCAGCGTGATACTAATAGCGTTCTTTGCCCACCACCCTTGAACAAACGGGCATGGTTTTTTTTTGGTAAGGGGGAACCTCCCCAACCAAAAAAATAAATAAAGACGGAGTACCACCTTTTTCAGTAAAAGGGGCGACGCCCCGGAAAAAGTCAACCAGAGGCTTATTCCTCCAGGGTTCAGATGGGGTTGCTGCGTTGGGTGGGGGGTTTCCAGAATTTCCGAGGGGCGCTTTGCAGGAGATTTGCCAATGCATTTTCAGAGTTGGGACCACCGAAAGTGGATGAATCATCCATCCAGCTTTGTCCGGGGCCAGCAGCAGCGGCGATCGTAGCCCCTGCCAGGGTCCACAAGCTGATTTGGCCTAAGCTGATTGGCGCTTCCATCTCTGATTCTGATTCTTGCTGATTTTGCGGATTCTGAGTCACTCAGATCTCATCAAGTCTCATCAAATCTCATCAAATCTCATCAAATCTCATCAAATCTCATCAAGTCTCAAATGTCATCAAATGTCATCAAATGTCATCAATCTAAACCTACATTTACCCAATCTGTCAACCCAGTGCATGCGATAAGGATCCAAACAATTTTGCATCGTACTTTGCGCCAAGTTATGTCATAGTGCGTGTAGTAATTCCGACCCTTTTGTTGCATTTTGTTTTTCGCACCATAGCGCGATTCTTTGACTTGGATCTTCTGGGGCAACTACAAAGGGCTTCAATCATCCGCGCAAACACCTTAACGCGGGGCTTGCTTCAGATTGCACTGAACCCCTGACTCTTGGAACAAGCAAGTGGGGCTCCACCCCCACACCTCATCGTCCGAATCAAATTCTGAGATTTCTCGCTGGTTCTCATAGATTGTAAATGGGAAACCACCCGTTACTTCATAATATGGAGATTGTAAATCAGTTGATGGTTGAGGTGTTGTAGACCACCCCTTGTAAACCACCTCACCCTAATTTTGAGACTTCTCGCTACATCCAAACCACAAATCCAAACCCCCTGCTGGAGTGAAGCCTACGGTTGAGTCACAATCCCGGCCGGGGCTCGAAATCCCGAGTAATCATGACACTCGCGGAAGAGCAAGCAAGCGCCCTGAGGGTTGCTAGGCGAAATCTTTGATGAAGAGTGTCTCAAGGGAAACTTCAGGTGACCCCTTGATATGGTTCTGAATCAGTATTTGATATATAATCAGTATTTGATATAGGTCACTCTATGTTACTTTAATTGATCTCTAAGAATAGGGGGCACATTTTTTTGGGTGTGGCAGGGGGGGTCGATTCCAGCTGTGTCAGGGCTGCTGCCATTACACATTGTCTGAACGCATGATCGCCTGTTTTGCTTTGTACTTGCCTTTGCTTTGTACTTGCTTTTTTCCGTTTGCTTAGAGTTGGCATGGTTGCTAGGGCCGGAGTTGGCACTCCTGGCAGACAGTGCCAGCTTTCCGGTCCGTGTGTCACTTCAAACGGCCCCCCTTGCATGGGGATGGAGAAATAGGGGTTGCCCATGCCTGCATCGCAGAAAGTGTTAAGACCCTCAGGCTAGAAGGCCCCTGATGGAGCCAAGTCTTGCGGGTCCTGGGATCCATGCTGTTCGGGAGGGTAGAACCAGCTGAGGTGAAGGGCCCAGCCCAGTTTCAACCCTTGGACTGAGCGATCCCTGTGAGTTGGTCTGTGCGCGAGCCGCTTCGCGGATGCGCGGCTCGACGCGCGGCCTGCCAGACCGAACTTGCCCAAGCAAGCTTTTAACCTTTTGGCTTCAAGCCGTCGTGGCAACCAGATTTAGCTAAAGCTCTAAGAGTGTACTGCCGGGCTTGGGCAAGTGAGCAGACAAGGGGTCCCGCATATTTCCCAGTGGGTGTTTGTCCATTGCAAGCCACCGACATGAACCACCCGTTTTTTGGCGCTGAGGTGAGCGGGGCTCGGTTTTCGGCAGGGAAATGTCGGAACCCACGGATGGCTATTTTTCGGGGCCTGCTTCGGGGCTGCCCGCCATCCAAGTCACGTGTTGGGACCTTCCACTACAATGGATCTAAGTGCACGTGCACATATCTATTTGTTTGTATTTGTCTGTCTGTCCGTCTGTCTGTCGTTCTGTCTGTCTGTCTAGTTGTCTGTCAGTCTGTGTATCTATCTATTTGTTTATCTTTCCATATTTCTTTCTTTATTATTTCTTTCTTTCTTTCTTTCTTGCTTTCTTTCTTTCTTTCTTTCTTTCTTCCTTCCTTCCTTGCTTGCTTCCTTGCTTCCTTGCTTCCTTGCTTCCTTGCTTCCTTGCTTCCTTGCTTCCTTGCTTCCTTGCTTCCTTGCTTCCTTGCTTCCTTGCTTCCTTGCTTCCTTGCTTCCTTGCTTCCTTGCTTCCTTCCTTCCTTCCTTCCTTCCTTCTCTTCTTTCTTTCTTTCTTTCTTTCTTTCTTTCTTTCTTTCTTTCTTTCTTTCTTTCTTTCTTTCTTTCTTTCTTTCTTATCTATCCATCCATCGATGAACTCGAATCAATTATAATTGTGTCTTGTCTTGTCTTGTCTTGTCTTGTCCTATTTATCTAATCTATCTGTCTATCCATCCATCCATCCATCCATCCATCCATCCATCCATCCATCCATCTATCTGTCTGTCTATCTATCTATCTATCTATCTATCTACCCTACTATCCTATCTATCCTGTCTATCTTATCTATCTTATCTATCTTATCTATCTTATCTATCTTATCTTATCTATCTTATCAATCTTATCTATCTTATCTATCTTATCTATCTTATCTGCCTTATCTATTATCAGTCTTATCTATCTTATCTATCTTATCTATTTATCCATCTTATCCGAGAGTCTACCTGTGAATTGAACTCAGCTACACACACACACATGTGACCCTCTGGATGCAACGGCAGAGAGAGAGAGAGAGAGAGAGAGAGAGAGCGAGAGAGACATCTGACAGAGCATCAGTCTAAAGATAGATCAACGCAAAACTGGACTTTTTGCGATGGTGGGAATCTGGGCTAAGAACCGCACAGTCGGAGGCATCGGCCCACGCTCGAAAGGGCGGCCGCATGCGGCTCAGCTGTTCCGTTGAAACTAAACGGCGCTTGGTTCAGCCGCATGCGACCTCTAAACGGCGTTTGGTTCTTCCCCGGTAGATGCGGGCGACCTGTGGATCGAGGACTATTGAATTTGTTTGACAGTTCAAGGTTCATGAAATGTGGGCCGGAATCAAGCATAAAAGTGTTGCTTTGGGGCAGCTGAGGTAGGAAAGGTCACTGATTAGGGGCGCCGAAAATCGACGCTCAAATCGAATCTCCGGCGCGTTCGGTGAAGCTTGTGAAAGTTTCCCAAGGGGGATCCCTTCTGCCAATTTTTTGCGGAGCCGGTGAAGCAAGCGATGCTTGGATCCAATTCGTTTTTCAGTTTGGTTCCTTGATTCAGGGAAAGTTGCCAAGGTTCCTTTCAGGACACTAGCTCAAAATCACCCCCCGCCCCCCGCTGATTTCGAGGGTTCCCTCAAGGCAGGTTTTGGATGTATCAAATTGAACCCGTCGGTTTTTCAAGCCAAAGTGGGAGCAGCTTGGGCTTGGTTTCGGTTGAGACATATTCAAAACCCGGCTGGCAGACTTGATGTTGCTCGACGCGCCGGGAATCGGGCAAAGTGCCATACAGCGAAGCATCTGCCAACAGCCGTTGCTTGTGAGAAAATGGGGCTGCTTATCGCCCACGGTTTGGGAAGTTGGGGGGGGGGGGGTGGTTGGCTTTGGGGGCTTCAAAGTGAAGGTGGGTGGGTCAGTGGTGACCTTTGATTGAACCTGCTGCGAATTGTCCTGGACACCCTCCGAACAAAATGCCCTAAACTTCACGGTTGTTGGAATGTTCATACGTTTTTTGATTTTTGTACATTTTTAGCAGTTTCACCTTCATCCGCTGGAGTTTTAGGCAACCCTACACATCATTTTTGGGATGAATCGGGAAGCTTCCCAGGGCCGAGTGGCGTCTCGAAAAAAAGAGCATCTACGGGTCCCTAGCGATGACAGGTTTCCCCCCTGAGGGCTCAAGATTGCTGATTACCTGAAGTGAAAGCCCTGATTAGGCGTTCACAGGCTGGGCTATGCAAAGGCAATCCGTAATCCTCACCTTCAGTTTACGAAAGTGGTCCTCTTTATAGTGGTTCCAATAGGGATTATGGAAGCTTGGATGGGCCAACACGAACCATTTCGAACAGGGACAGGCGGCTCCTTATCCTCCCTTCCACTAACATAGCATTTTCCTCTGGTAGGGACCCCCGGTCAGTTGATTTGCTTGATTTGCCCATCATTTTTTCCTGAACTGCAGCTTGGAAGGGGCCTCGGCCCCTTCCAAGCAGGGCTGGGGACATGGTTTTTTCCAGTCGTAGGTTTGCTCACTTCCCAAGTTTCTGGTTGCTTGATGCTTTTCCGGAAGATAAATAGATCAGACTTCTGGTTGCCAAGGGCAGGCAGTGAGCTTCACACGTTAAGGGTTAGATGAAGCCCTAAGAATACCGTGACACCGTGTCAAACTTTTGCTGATCAGCAACCATCCACCGTATTAAAACCAGAAAATGGGGATGTTTCCTTTTGGTTGCCCTCACTTGCACAAGGCACATCGTGTTTTTTTCTTCTTCTTTTAGTCCCCCTTTTGGGGTTTCCCTATTTTTAGCCATCACCCTTTTCTGAACAAACCCTCTCCTTGCGATCGGTGCGATAGGGAATGAGGGAATCAGGGATTCCCTCAAAAGAAACCGCCGGTTGGATAAGGCCATGGTTCAAAACCGTTTTGGGATCCCATTTTGGTTGGTAGGTGAATTCACCCCCCATTTTAGAACCTATTTTAGTGGGGATTGAATCGGATGTTCACTGGGGGTACGATTTGGGTTTTGATCCATGGCCATACGGGGTCATTCCCTCATCTTGTCGCACCGATCGCAGGTCTCGGGGTCATCGCGGTGTCCTTTTTGGTTTTGGCAGAAAAATCCATGGCGATCGCTGGTAAAAAAATCGATGGGTTGCGATCCCTGGTTCACCAAATCGGTGTTTTTTTTTTTATTTATTTTTTTTTTCTCATCCAGGGAAGCCCATCTAATTCCAACCTAGAAGGGCCACCTATGTTTGGGCCCCCTTCACAGTTCTTGGGCCTTTATATGTATATATATATATATACTTCCCCAGAATTGGCTCCCCTTTTTGCTTTTTTGCTTTTTTGGGGTTCCCACTCACCAGGCAAAAAGATTTGTTTTTTTGCTGGGGTTCTAATTCCAGCCAAGAATATACATAAATATATATATATATATATCTATATCTATATATATATATATATATTTGTGGCTTTTCCAACCTAAAAGGACGCCGACGCCGGGGTCATCCGCTCCCAAGAGCGAGGTGCCTGGAGCCTTTGCTGCGCGCAGCGCGGACAGCGCTGCCTCAGCTCTCGGGCCAGGGCACAGCCAACGCCCGGGCCAAAGCTTGGGGTCATGGGGGGTAGGCTGGTGAAGATCCTTTTCTCGGGGGATTTCTTTTTCGTTTTTTTCCTCTGGGTTTTGGAGATGTTGTGAAACATCAGGCAGAGATACCTGAAAGTGATTCCGGCTTTTCTCTTGGCACGCCAACTGAGCATGCCAAACTCATCCTCAAAAAAAGAGAAATCCTGGGTTTTGGAGATACTGTGGATGGACCCCTAAGGGAAGGATGATTCTCCTCTAAATGCCAACGAACCATGGTTTCTGGCGCGAAAGGGATTTCGCAAATTCCGCAGGATTGCAAACAAAAATGCAGACACAGATTCGGGGGATGCCTGTTCCATGATTTTTTCCCAGTTTTCTGTTGGCACGCCAAAAGGGGCATGCCACACTCATCCCTAAAAAAGGGGTCAAAAGGAGCGGGGTGCGCCCGTCGAAAAGGTTCCGCTTCAAGGCTAAGGGTCCGCAAAAAGCAAAGCGCCAGGGTTTGTACTGTTGACCCAGGATTTCTTTAAACCCGTCCCATTATTAGGGGGGTGGAAACCCCTCCAAGAGTGGTCCGAATCTCCACTAAAAGGGGACACCCCCCAATCAAAATCAACCAGGGGTTTATTAATCCGGGGTCAACATTAGCAGGTTCACTTGCGATATTTGCGTGTGTCTTTTTTGCTTGCGCCTGGCTCGCGTTGGGGGAAACAAAACATCCTCTTCAACAATTTGCTTAAGAGTTGTTTTTTTCTTCAAATATTATTATTTTTGCCTTGCTAATTTTAAAGGGCATCTGTCACTGCTGGACATATTTTTTTACAGGGGACTCAAACAAATGGAAGTGTTGAAACGTGGCAAAGGCCCCAAAACGCCGGCCCCACCAATTCGGGTAAGGCGCGGATCGATGCGATTCCGGGTGTCCTTGGCTCAAGCTGAGCCAATTTTCCAGAATCCTTCCTGAGCTTGCGTCGCGCATCTCAGAAGCGTCTTGGATGAATGGCATTCTGGGCGAGTCCAACTGGCTGACTCGCTGTTTTAAGCCTGGTCTAAACCTCGGTTTTTTCTTTGGAACTCTTGAAGTCAGCTTCCCACTAATATTTTATGTCTCGGCTTGGTGGTTTGGATATGGCAAATTCCCATTTGCCCTCAAGAATCAAGGGTTCAACTCCCTAAAC